ACCCATATCCGATCATGGTGTGACAGTGTGAACGGCACAAATCCGATATTTTCAAATCCGATCTGGGTCACTTTCGTATGTGGTACTAAATCCGATACATATCTGATGTTTTAGAAAGCGACTGCTGTTTGAATGGTCAAGTCGCATTAAATCCGTCTTTTACGTCACTGACACAAGACAGACGCCAATTATCAGCGCCGGAGAAGCACCCGATAAGACATCACGAATGCTTCCTGGCCATCCAGCGTAGATGTCAGTGAAACTGTTGGGAAGACAACGTTGGAGAAACGTGAACATTTTATTTGTACTGTATAATCTGCAGATTCTGACAGAAATCTGCAACTATCCTTTGAAGTACTGCTCCTCTCTAAAACGGCAATAAGGATCATTATTAGGCTATTTACATTATTATGTAAATAACAAAATAACTTAAAGCAAAAATTGGGAAACGTAAAGTCCGAAGTCTTTATATTAAGGGCCATCAGTCAAACAATACTGTTTGGTCTTGGTCTAAACAGAGCGCGTTGTGTGTGACATCTTCTTTTGCGCTTGCGGGCCGCTTTGAGGGTTCACACTAAAGCGTGTTTGCTGTCGCATTTTATTTGTAGTGTGAACAAGCAGACAAAAAAATCGGATGTCATGGCCTGGTGCTGTCCAGCTGTTCGTACTGGAGACCCAATCTTGGATGTTTGCCACTGTGATGGTTACTGGTCCCTGTTCAGGGAGGTTGCTGTGATCTGCTCTTGGATCCTCTAGCCAGTGGGCATTTCCATTATGGGTTGTGTCCTTTTCCCACATGCTCTTCCAGTATTGGTCTGTCTCCAGCCTTGGTGGAACTGTTCTCATATTATTCCCCCGCCAATGAGAGTACACCTTGGATGGTTCTGTGGAGAACAGCTGGTTTATTCTCCTGCCTTCTATTTCTTTGGTATACCTCTTCAAGTGGCTGGGCAAGGCTGTGACTCTTTGCTTGGCAGTTTCCAAGACCCCAGGTATGGACAGCTTGACGTACTTCTTAGGCACCTTTCTGCAGCTCACCTAACCCTATTTCAATAATAAGATTGCATCTCTTTTTTTCAGTATTAAAGTATATTACCATTTAATTAAAAACAGTCTTGGGAAGGACATTTGAAATGTATTCCACTACAGTTTACAGAATACATGCTGCAAAATGTATTTTGTAACGTATTCCGTTAAATTACTCAATGAGAGTAACATATTCTGAATACTTTGGTTACTGAATATATTATCAAGCTTTTTACAACTACTTGAATGTACTATTGCTGTGTGAATTATTACTATTACTGAAGGATACTCGCCACATCAATACCAACTAGATTTTTAAATCTTAATATAAAATGAGTGACAGTAGGGTGGATATTAGGTAAGGCTGCACTTTTTGCAGCGATCTCGTGTAGAAAACTATTCAGCATGTATATAAAACAGTTCCACGGCTCCGAACCATAGTAAAGGGACCTCTGGCTAATATGTTGGTTCTGTGTCAGGCCCGTAACCAAAAACTAGCTTTACTTTGTTTTTTGGGTCAACTTTGCCAGCGTGGGACAGAGAGAGGCCTTGAAAGGCTGCTCCAATGGAACTTACTGTTTAGGAGAAAAACACGAACACAGTGTACAGTCAAGTCTTAATAGCTTACTTACAACTGGGCTACACTGCCCATGAGGCTACATTCTTTAGGGCTATGCCTGTAACACTCTGCCTATTGCCTTCACATTAAATTCTTTTTTTGAACAATAATTTTAAAAAATATTATATCACGTCATTATGCGGGCCGCAAGTAGAGGTGACAGGGGCCACGAGATTGAGACACAGGCATTTGAGCCTCTTATTGCGTGTTTTGTTTGGGTTTTCACCGGCGTCGAATTACCAAAAATAGAGAGGGGACAGCCTAACATATGAAACAGGAAAAGACCGCAGTGTAATCTCTATTTCAACAAAGTAACTGTATTCTGAAGACTACCTTTTTAAACGGTAACCGTAACGGAATACAGTATTTTAAATACGTAATGGCGGTACATGTATTCCGTTACTCCCCAACACTGATTAAAAATAATTTATGTACATGTAGCCTTTTAGTGATTGCTGTTTTTTTTTTTTTCTTATGAACAAATCTACTGAAGGTGTTACTCATGAGATGGCCAGCACTCTAGATATCCTCCCCACATTGGCGCGCCTGGCAGGAGCTGAACTACCACAGGTGATGCTGGACGGGGTCGATATGACGGATATCCTTGTTAAACAAGGAAAGGTAGGAGCTTTGTATTTAAAGTTGTGCAAACACTCAAATAATGGAAAAACCAAGCTCATGTGTGTATTTTCTCTGTGTTTTACAGAGTAAAAGGGAAGCCATGATCTTCTACCCTGTAGATCCCAGTGAAAAATATGGCCTCTTTGCTGTAAGGCTGGGAAAATACAAGGCTCACTTCTATACACAAGGTACTACGTGTCATATTTTGAATATTGCAAGTTCACACTGTCACAAGTTTTAGTTGGTCTTAATTCCTGCCTGTTCATGTTTGTACATCAGGTGCTTTCCACAGCAGTACTACACCAGACAAAGACTGTCCAGAAACAGCAGTCTTCAAGGCTCATGACCCTCCTCTGATATTTGATCTGGAGGCTGACCCATGTGAGCATTATGCTCTGCCAGTAGATACACCTGACATCCAATCTGTGCTGCAACAGGTCAAGACAGTTAAGGAGCAATTTGAATCCTCCATGGTGTTTGGAGAGAGCCAAGTGGCAAAAGGAACAGACCCCAACCTCGAGCCTTGCTGCAACCCTGAGTGTAGCCCCAAACCTAGCTGCTGTCAGTGTTGATGAGAAAAACTGTTACAGCTTGAGGAAGGAAGGGAAAGTTGGACTAAAGTGCTGCTCTCCTGTGGAGAGTTTTAATTACTGGAAATGGAAAATGAATGTAAAGTAAATGTGCTCCCTTAGTGAGGAGATGATTTTCTCAAATTTGATACTGTTACAATTATAACTAATGTTTTACAGTGTACTGTATCATCTTTCTTCTGTGCTGTGAGTATTGTTTTATTTGATTTCTAATTTCCACTCGAGGAATTCTTGGTAAGCCCTTTTCACTCATAACATCATGAGTTAACTAAACAATGAAGACAACAATAAAGTTTCAGACATCAATCATATATTTTCAAGATGTATTTTCAAACCCATGAAAAGGTAAGTGATTTTTTTGTTTCCGTTGAAACTCACAAGTCTTTGTTTTGAAAGATACAAGATCAGATATGTTGTTCTGTCACATACTCTTTTTCATTTACTCGCAATAAAAGGTCGGAGCAGTTGTCTTTTACTAAAACACAATGCAGGCAGCCTGTGTAGTGCATAGACTGTCATTTATCCATAGTGGCTCTCCTGCTTCTTCTCTGTAACTCATGGAGAACAATTAGATGGGTCTGGAAAACACCCTCAAATTTGTTATTATTTGTGGCAAACATATACCAGTCATTATAGAATATTTGTTTCTAATGATTTTTAATGATGCTATAGGTGCTCCATTAGCTCTACCAGACTAATGACTGACTCATTGTTTACCTGAGCTGAGCATGACAGCTTGGCTAGATTTTTCTTTTTGTCTTAAATATAACATGAACACATTTGATGGAAAAGCAGGGGCATCGCTGCCTCCTTCCAGGGTTGTTGTTCCCTGCAGAGATTGTTAGAGTGCTCTGTGTTGGAGAAGATTAGATGAAGAGAGCTGCTGCAGCAAGGTACTTTTTCAAAATCTCTCACTGACTGTTGTTTTCTTTGTTTTTCCATCATCCAACAGCTTGTTTCTCCCTTAGGTTAGCACTGTACAGAGATGTGAAAGTGAATGATAAAGCAAAGTATCTAGTTCCCTAAGATGGCAACAATGGTGCAAGACCGCACGCAAGCTAACTGATAGACATATCACACACACCATTGTGTATGAGGACTTCTGAGAAGTTCATAATGACTTGGTCAAACAATGCTTGCATAACCCTAGACTTTCCTAAACTCCATTGTGTAAAATGTAATAATTTTATGTGACTGGGACTAGCTTTCTAACCTCCATTCCGACTTGCCTCCATCACTATCAAAAACATTACCTTCCTCCTCACACACAGACTCACACGCACAGTTGTCTGTATGCAGAACGTACAGCACATATTAAATGCTCCCATGCCATGTGTTTCTTCTTTTCACATGATGCCAGCTTGATTACATGCAGGTAGAGTCGCACTTATGTTTTCCTGTCCACCTCACAGAAACATGTATGTGAGAATACATAAAAAAAAATAGCTCCTGGTACTCTCTATCATCATCAGAAAATCAGCTGCCACATTCATTTGGATGGACAGGGGGATACATACTGGACTTTGAGGATAGAAACAAAGTATCGAACAGCGTTAGTATAGATCTGATACTGATACAAGTGTTGGTATCAATACTATCGATATTTGGATCAATCTACCCACCTCTATACTTTAAAAAAATTCAGCAAGAGGGCTACATGTCACCAGCAGCTTCACATTTTCTCTCTCTATAGCTGGATGGTGCAAAAGGACTAGCAGCTCCTGTCCCTCTCCTCCTCCCTCAGTTTGCCTCATTATCATTTTCTGATATTATAATTTACTTTAGAATAGAATAGAATGCCTTTATTGTCACTATACAGTTGTACAATTTGTGGCCTTGCAAAATGTTTCAAATACCGCGTCTTGGTTGTTTGTAGAGCTGCGACTGGCCCACACGCGGCGACTCTTGTGGTTATCAACTGAGTGAAGAGCCGTGATGCATTTATACAGCCGTATTTCGCACATCACTATGACAGGCGGAAGAAGAAGTAGTTCCTGCCAATCATTTAGACAGTCCCAATAATATAGTTACTTTCCACTGTGTTCCTATTAATCACAAATTACAAATTTACCACAAATTTCCTAAATATCGATGTTTTGAAATAAGAACTGAGTCTAGATCACAAATATTTGCTATCGGAAGAATCGATATTCCAGTATCGATCCGCACATCACTATTTATAGGGATCTGATGCTTCCTTACTATCAGCCAGACTTAAAGCCAGAGCAGGATGGTATCCGGCAGCTTCACCTTTTTCGGCATTATTCTTTTGTGCACCTGCTCTGCTTCACCGCCGAATTTCGTCCTCATCTTCGCTGACGATTTAGGTTTCGGGGACTTGGGCTGTTATGGACATCCTAGTTCACGCACTCCCAACCTGGACCGCCTGGCAGCTGAAGGGCTCCGATTCACAGATTTTTACAGCACCTGCCCCGTGTGCAGCCCGTCCAGGTACCGGTGTAATCAGTACTGACTGTTGGCGTTTGTGAATAAAACAGAAATCAATCCGAGACTTAGCTCAACAGTTTTTTTAAACTTTAAAGTAATGAAAGTGGCCGTGAAGTATGTTAAGGTTCTGTTATTCATTTATTTTTTGTTTTTTGTTTTGTTTTGTTTTTCAAGTCGATTTGATCCTAAATTATTCTATGAAGTTGTAACTGACAAATTATTAATGGGCTCATTAATAAATAAGTCATTTTAATGGTAGACTGCGTTATTGTATATATTGTGCATTAAATAGTTCTGCATTAATCCACTTAATATCTTTGTAGAACTGTAATGTTATATTTATTGCCGTTTTTGCTGTCCTCTTGGTCTACATTCTTGAAAAAGAGATTTTTTAATGCCAATGAGCATTTTACATTCATAATTAAAACATATATAAATGCCTCTTTGCAAAAAAACTGATTCTGAACCTCATGACACAAATGTTCCTCCTGGCTTAAAATTGCTTAATATCATTGACGAGACATATGTTTAACATGTGTTTCAAAGGTTATAGGCCAACCAGTCATTTCTAACAGTTTATTCTAGCAGTTCCAGCCACCATTGCTCTCTTCCAATTTGTCCTTAACTTCATCTCACTCTTATTGCCTGTTCTTATTGTCCTTATCTTCAACTTCATGCTGCTCTGTTGTATGTTAATTGCCCCTTGGGGATAAATAAAGTCTTCTGATTCTGATTCTGACATAGCTATTGAGGTCCTATAGTAATATAAAGTATTATTAAAATGGGAGAGGAGTAACTTTCTTCTAAAACGGAGTATTCTTGGTTTGAGAAATGGAAGATTGAAAACTTTTTCCAGTAAATTAATAAATAAAAAAAATAAAAATACATTTTTTTAAATTTAATTAAGAAAAAATCAACAGAAAAGAGGGAAGACTTGGGAGAAACTGAGAATGGGGGGCTAAAAAATACTGAGATGTGTCAAAAACAGGAAATGTTTATGACGGGTGAGATAACGGTGGCATTGGGGAGAGAATGATTGGACACTAGGAAGAGAACATCAGAGTTTATAGTTTCACCTGGCAACTTCATTCAACTACAAATAATGCTGTAGTCCTGTGCTTTGATGCAATGTTTCCTGCTGCAGAAAAAAATAGTGTATTAATAATGTATTAATAATCAATATCAATAATATTCCAGTGTTCAGTCTAACAGCCCCAGGTTTGTGGCTCAGAGTTTTAGTCGCCCATGTATAATTGTATTGTGCTGCAGGATGAGACAAAGAAACCTTTTAATTTCGATATTTGTAAGTATTAATATAACTTAATTCATATTATATTTATATTTTCTATCATCTAAAAATCCAAGATAATGTTACTTAAGCCTTCAAATAAGTATGGTCTCGTACACTCCATGTACCCCCACCCAATGCTTGTTGCAGCTATTGCTGCCATATAAGATAGTACAGCTGCTGACAGCCTGTAATTTAAACATTGTAGACTAAGACTAAGTTAACATTTCATCTGCATATATTATTGTAACTTCTACAGATTTACTTAGATTTGATTGATGATAAGGTGGTTTGATGTAGGACTCCTGCCAGCTTTTTCACTATAAATGTTTAATGGTGGTTACAGTAACAAGCACTGCTTTTGGGGACCCTAGAAAAAAAAAATTACCCACTACACTTGAGGTCACCTCTTGGCAGTGACTCCACCTCTTTGCTCCTCAACATGTGTGTATACAAAATCAATCTTGTAATCAATCTTTTTATAGAAAAACCAGGGCCTACATGGGCTTAATGTAATGCTTGTCATCCACAGGCATGCTCTTAGATATATTTCTATTGCAGGTCTGTATTTAGTAGTAAATGTGTTAAGAGTTGTGATAGAAGAGGTATGCAAAGCTTTGAAGAGCCCCGACACTCTGCCCTTTTTATTGATCTATCAAAAGCCTTTGACACTGTTGACCATGGCATTTTATCTCAGGGGCCATTAGAAATATGACTTTCAGACCAAACATTTGGCTGGATTTCAAATTACCTTTCCCACCGTGGCAGTATGTGCAGCTCAATGGTCTCTCTTCCAGTTTTTTAAATGTCACCAACAGAGTGCGGCAGGGTTATTTACTTTTTATGTTAATGACTCGGGCCAAAATCTAAATGCGTCTGTCCATTTTTATGCAGATGATACAGTTATTTTGCTGTTGTGCTCATATTGTCAACGTGGTTTTCGAAAATGACAGTTACCTTTTGGTTGAATACAGTCACAGAGTCAGCTCAGACTGGTTGTAAATGCTGAAACACAAAAGTGCCTGCAGAAAGAGCATGCTTGCAGTACTCCCCTCTCTTGTATCTGCTCAAGGCATTATTATTGAAACTGTGGCCTCATACAAATACTTGGGTTTTGTGATTGATAAAAATCTTTCCTTTAAGCCACATATTGACTTTGAGCATCGCGTCAATATTTGTTAATGACTTGGGACAAAATCTAAATGCATCTGTCAATTTTTACACAGCTGATACAATTATTTACTGTTGTGCTCATACTGTCGATGTGGTTTTTGAAAAATTACAGCTATCTTTTGATTTTATACATTCATAGTGTCAGCTTTGGTTTTAAATGCAGTAAAAAACAAGGTTGTATTTTTCTCAAATACAAAAAGCATGCTTGCAGTACTTCCCTCTCTTGTATCTGCTAAAGGCATTTCTATTGAAACTGTGGCCTCATACAAATACTTATATTATTATCAATCACAATACAATATTATCTGTTTCTCTTGTTGATATCGCCTTTTTTTACCCCTCCTAGATTATGATGATACAATTTACATGTCTCTGCACATTCTGCCCATCTGTGTACTCTGTTTTATCACGGGGCATTAAGATTTATAATTGGCTGTAAACCTTTAACACACCATTGTACTTTATATTCTTTGGTTTACTGGTCCTTATTGGCCTTACTCAGGATGGTTTTTTGATATGACTGCATAAACATTAGCCATTTGTGCTTTTTTATTGTTTATTTTATTGTTATAGTTTTAATATGTTTGTCCGAAACAGGTCTCTTTTCTACATAAGACACTGAGTCTACCTGTATAAATAAAGCTCACATAAAATACATTTAAAAAATGAAGCATTTAAACAAAAATGATTTTTTAATTAGGTTTTCTTAATGATTCGCTGCAGCTTGAATTGATAGATCTGAGGTAATGAACATGGATCAGTTTAAATACCTGTGGTTAACCGTACAAAGCAACGGACTTTGCACAAAAGTGGTGAAGAAGAAAGAGCAGGCTGGGTGGAGTAGGTGGAGATTAGTATCAGGGTTTATTTGTGATATTTGTGATAGCACAAACCACACATTATCTCCTATGAGGTGTGGTTTGAGATCAATGACACTAACAAAAAGATATTAGGTGGTGCTAAAGGTGGCAGCGTTGAACAAGACTTTCATTGGGAGTGACCAGCATAGAGAGAATGTAAAATGATTTTTCAGCTCAGATTTAAAGACGGGGGGTGGTAGGTGAGATGGAGGAAAGCGGTCTGCTGTGGTGACCGCTGAAGGGAAAGAAGAAAAGATTGCTGTGATTCTTCGATGGAAGAAAAGCTTAGATGACGGAATTAATATTTGAATATAGAGTAATTATTTTCAAATTTCATTAAGTACATGAAATTTTTGTTGCTGCCTCTAAACTTTTACTTTGACATGCAACCAAAGTGATGAAATCTTCCCTACATGTCCTGTAGTTTTTCATCTTCCATTGTTGGATGAATTGATGCAGTGAGTTTCTTTAGGCCGTTTTCCTAAGTGAAGTAAGAGTATTCAAAATTACCCCACTATCTTTTCCACTGTTAATTAACTGCCTTGTTTGTTGTTTTTTTCCAAGGGCATCATTGTTGACAGGTCGCTATCAGACCCGGTCAGGAATCTACCCAGGCGTGTTTTACCCAGGATCTATAGGTGGTCTTCCTCTCAATGAGACCACCATCGCTGAAGTGTTAAAGTCCCTGGGCTACGCCACAGCGATCATAGGAAAGTGGCATCTAGGTGTTGGGCATAATGGCATGTTTCTTCCAACCAAGCAGGGCTTTGACCATTTCCTGGGAATCCCATACTCCCATGACATGGTCAGTGTGTTTCCAGTCTGTGCTACTTAAAATTGCTTCATGAAATTTCTTTTCTTTGCTATATTCACTTTACTATTCTTCACTCTGTACTGCTGTCTGTTAATTTTTCAATCTTGTCTTTTCTTCCCCAGGGCCCCTGTAAGAATCTGACTTGTTTCCCTCCAGATATAAAGTGCTATGGATTGTGTGATATTAGCAACGTAGTCGTCCCACTAATGGAGAATGAGGTCATCAAGCAACAACCAGTCAACTTCCTTGATCTGGAGAGGAGTTACAGTGACTTTGCAGCAAACTTCATAACCACATCGGTTGAGAAAAAACAACCATTCTTCCTCTACTATCCATCACATGTGAGCAACAAGAGCAATCTGAAGAAAATGCATGAATTAAAGTGTGCAAAATCAACCTTCTATTGAATGCAATCAAAGCTTTGGTTCATCAGCTCTTTGAATGCCTAAAAATGTGTTTTCAAAATGGTAAATATCAGGATAATTCAAAATTTTCTAGTCCTCTGGGGATAGATTCTGGTCCCTCAATAATCAATGTGATGTGCAATACCACTGATTTCCTTTCTTATCCCATATCAAGTAAAATCAGAGCTGGTATCAGTGATACTCGTCCAATACCTAAGCTTTGAACAAAAACTTAATGTGTTTGGAAAACCGAAAGTTCTGTATTTCAAACTATATGTTCATAATGAGTACCAGAAATCAGACTTCTTCTTCTTATTGTAATTGTGAAGAATTATCACACAAGAAACAAACAAACCTGAAAAGTCAACTCCTGCATTTTAAAACTTTCAGTAAACAATTAAAAACAAATGTGACTGATAGAAAATAATAATAAAGTTTAAAAACATTTTTTTATATATATGTCATTATCTATGTTTTGAAATAAACAATATAAATATCAAATATTTTGAGTTGTTTTTTTTTATTTCTTAAAGCCTACAATGACTATTTTTGATTCTAAGTGTCTGGAAAGGATTCCATCATAAACTAAATTTTTTTTACCCCAAATTACTAAAATACCAATATTCTAATAGGGGAATTGATTCTAGAACATAAATATCTGGTATCGGAAGCATCAATATTTTAGTATCAATCTTAACAACACTAATAACCACTTGTTTTCTTGCTTCAGCACACCCACTACCCCCAGTATGCAGGTATTGGGGCAGCTGGCCGATCTTTAAGGGGTCCGTACGGGGATTCCCTGTTGGAGTTTGACAACAGTGTAGGCCACCTGGTGGAAACTCTGGAGAGGACAGGAGTGATCAACAACACATTGGTCTTCTTTACATCAGACAATGGGTTGGTTTTCAGTTTATTATCATATTTGTTGCTAATCTATGAACTGTATTTATTGTTATTCCATTTTGGTATCTCATTTAATGAGCTTAAAAAGGTGACTGGACTTTATGTTTAAATCTTTAAAGATCAAAGAACACTAATTCCAATCTTTTTTAAACTCTTAAGACTACTATGACGTGTATGACTGAGACATATTTCATTCAGTGACTTAAAGACAACAATGAAGAGAAATGCACTAGAGTTTTGGAGTTTAATTCCTCATGCTGACATTTAACCACCCTCCAGAAAAAATATTTTTCCTCTGTTCAGTAGTCACGTTTCTAACAGTCTTTGCACTCTTGTGATAATATTGCATTTATCATGTTTTATTAAATGGTATCTGTTTTCTTTCTCTGCATGTAGGCCTGAACTGATGCGCAGGTCCCGTGGAGGCATTGCTGGTCCTCTGAAATGTGGCAAAAGTACCACATATGAGGGAGGCATGAGAGAACCTGCCATCGCCTACTGGCCGGGAATCATCAAACCAGGTCAGGACATTTTAGTGGTCTGCAAAAAGTCTAGACTACATTATCCTTCAAACACAAAAAATCCTGACCCATCCTTGATCTTGCCACACAGTTTGGTTACATTTAGTTTTACCTGCATGGTTTTTGGTGCCAGACAACTTGATCACCATTCAGATGGTAGGATCAGAAATTGCTATAAATACCATTTACAGCCAATACAGCATTTCAGGCTGTTGGTTGTGGTGCAGTGGTGTGAGAAATACGTTTGGCACCTTAGTACTAATTGAGCATATGTCAAAGCCTTTCTGCGATCAGAACCTCTGAAGACTGTTTGCAGCACCCTGTGTAATCTAATGTATGACTGTAGTTCTGAAGGTGTTGTTTGTTTATTCCATGAGCATTGCCTCTCCCTTTTTCCAGCATCAAAGTATACTATAATGAAAACAAAAATGTAGCCTTTAGTGATTCTTTTTTTGAACAAATTGTTTGAAGGTGTTACTCATGAGATGGCCAGCACTCTAGATATCCTCCCCACATTGGCGCGCCTGGCAGGAGCTGAACTACCACAGGTGATGCTGGATGGGGTCGATATGACGGATATCCTCGTTAAACAAGGAAAGGTAGGAGCATTGTATTTAAAGTTGTGCAAACACTCAAATAATGAAAAAACCAAGCTCATGTGTGTATTTTCTCTGTGTTTTACAGAGTAAAAGGGAGACCGTGATGTTCTATCCTGTAAATCCCAGTGAAGACTATGGCCTTTTTGCTGTAAGGCTGGGGAAGTACAAGGCCCACTTCTATACACAAGGTACTTATTAATTATTACATGCTCACACTGTCAAACTTTAGCTGGTCTTGACTCCTGCTTGTTCACTTTTGTACATCAGGTGCTTTCCATAGCAGTACTACACCAGACAAAGACTGCTCAGCATTGCGCAAGACTCACGACCCTCCTCTGATATTTGATCTGGAGGCTGACCCATGTGAGCTCTATCCTCTATCAGTAGATACACCTGACATCCAATCTGTGCTGCAACAGGTCAAGACAGTTAAGGAGCAATTTGAATCCTCCATGGTGTTTGGAGAGAGCCAAATGGCAAAAGGAAAAGACCCCAGCCTCGAGCCTTGCTGCAACCCTGAGTGTAGCCCCAAACCTAGCTGCTGTCAGTGTTGATGAGAAACATTGCTGCAGCTCCTAATGACAATAAAGAAAGGGAAAGTTGAACTGCAGTGCTGCTCTCTTGTAGAGAGTGGAGTTTTAATTGCTAGAAATTAAGAAGCAGTGTAAAGGCAATGTGCTTCCTTAGTGAGGAGATGATCTTCCAAGATTTAATACTGTCTCAATTCAGAAATAATGTTTAACAGTGTACTGTATTTTCTTTCTTCTATGCTTTGAGTATTTTATTCTTTGATTTTTTAAAAAATTTATTTCCACTTCGGGAATTCTTTGTAAGCCCTTTTCACTCACACAATTAGGATTTAACCAAACAATGAGGACAACAATAAAGGTTCAGACATCAAGCATATATTTTATTCATAAGACCAAACCCATGACAAGGCGAATGATTTTTTTTTTCTTTGTTTTCCCTTGAACTTTACAAGTCCTTGTTTTTAAAGATACAAGATAAGATATGTTTGTTCTGTCACATACTCTTTTGCTCTAGGTATACAGTGAAGAATCCTGTTAAAGTAATAAAGTCAAAAGTTGATTTAACTGTTGAAGTACTTCTGAGCGGCTATATTGGACTAGATCTTCAGTGGTTGCTCTTGTGTAGCTGTGTGAAAAGAAGTATTTTAACTAGGCTGTAACAAGATAGAAAAACAGAATCAGAGGCAAGTAGATACAGATCAGAGATGGGTCACACTGTTGGAGCTCAAATGCGATTACTATAATCGGCAAGACACAATAATAGTTTTCCAGTGGCAGCTGACTGAGTCACTATTCAGCTCTAACAGCAGATTGGTCAGTAGTTTGGTTGTGTGTCACACACTAGTGATGTCACATTTCACAAATGTGCCCTAAACGTGCTGCTGCTGAAGCCTGTTTGTAGAGAGTTATGGAGTCTTCAGGAACCTGAATGCCAGCTGTGTGACAGACTGAGATTACACCGTGTGTTAAAACATGAAAAGACACTGAAATAAAATTATTGCAGATCACAGATATTTGTGTGTTTTTCGTTCAGGGGTTTTCATCTGCTCGTGATCTTTTTTAAACTTCTTTTTAATTCATGTACATATTCATTTTCATAACATACTCAACATAAAGGACACAGCACTATCATAGATTTGCTATTGTATATACACGATCTAACTGACAGCAATACATATGTAGATAATACCCTCTCTCCTGCCATGTCAACTTTCAGTGAATCTTTAACACTGAAATCCTGCAAATAGGATGTGTTTTTTCTGCTGGACTGACTGAAAGCAGCATAAAAAGATGCTAAACAGTGTCAGAGAGAACAATGGGGGTGATTGGGGAGGTGGGCTTCAGCTACTCCCACCTCCATATAAGGTGCTTGACTGCAAGCCATGGTTTGACGCTCCAACCTCCTTCATTCACCTATTGTGTGACAGGTGAATGAAGGTATAATTAAACGTGGAAACGCATCACTCTCCTTGTTCACCATGCTTAAACATTAGATAAATGCCCAACCATTAACAAAAGTGTAAATCTGACATTTTAAAGGTTTGACTCCACTGGAATACCACGTATCAGCAGGACACTCCCCTATCAATCGATCTAGTCATTCCTTTTACCTCATTGAAACTGAAATGGAGATCAGGAAAGCACTGAAAGGCAGAGTTAAACAGTCAGAGATGTGAGAATATGGCTTTTCAGAGGGCCTTAGCTTTCTTTCATCTAAAAGTGGCATCAGCCATATAAAGCACACACTGATCTAATATTTTGCAACTGTACCAGCTGGATGACTTGCTATTGAAGCTCTAAGAGCAGTGCAACTTTGAGAACAGGAGGGAAGTAAATTTGCTCTGTCATTCAGATTTGCTGAGAGTTACTGTCCCTAAATCCAAAATGAATATATCTGCAGAGCAAATGACATTCAAAGTTCATCTGAAGTCAACTCATCGAACTGCTCTGAAAACTGCAGTTAATCCTGTCAGAGCGATACATCAAAAGCAAGAACAAAATTTCCCACCTTCAGTCTCAACTGTGAGCATTTCTTAATTAGTCTGAATGAGGCGCCTGAATGTCTACTCTCTATACATGTATTTACAACACACTACGATTTGTACACAACACAGGGGGTAAGCTTGGACCAAGGACCGCTCGCTGTACTCTCTGTCTCTCTCTACTTTGCTCCAATGTCACTATAAGTATAAATTAAATGACCTGTTTTTCAGTATTGAACAAAAACATATATACAGTTAACTCAAACGCCGACGTCTTGATTCGACACCATTCCTTTACTGATTGTTGAGCTGCTTGCCATTCACTTGGATATGTGTATTTCTTGGTGTGTCTGTGTGCAGTAATCCTACTAGCCATGCATTGAAAAGTGATACAGCAGTAGTAGGTACATTGTTTTCATCTCAAAAGAAGAATCTTGAAATAAACAGGTGCTCAGCATCTTAATTTTTATATCATAGAAAAAGATTAACTAAACAGGCAATCAATCCATTGAGATCATGGAAATAAACAAAGAGAAAGGGATGAATGAAATCAGTCAGATGTCTAGCATACTGTAGAAATGAAGATCCCAGGTTTAGAGGGACAGAAGAGTATTTTACAATGGAGCGAAAAAAGAAAATCCCCACTGACAATGCCCTCTGGTGGCAAAATTGATGAACATACACAAGCTGTGGAGGAAGAAGGTTGTCATGGCAACATTTCTCACTCCAGGTAGATGTCCTCAGTGGGGCAGGCGTATTCCAGATGCTCTTGGTAGTACTCCTGGAAGGCTCGTCTGCAGAAAATACAGACATATGAGGACTAAAGATTTACCTGTGAGATAGTATTAGATATTTTTAGATTCAGTTTTGTACGGCTGTTTAGTGTTTCTGATGTTTCACAATGTTTGTGTGAAAGACACAGAAACAGAAGTTGTTTTTCACAAGTTCTGGCTGACTTAATGGCGAGAATCTGATGGATGAAAGATTTCTGCCGCCTCCTCTTAATCCAGCCTCAGAGAGTGGGCTAATGTGCATCTTTAATTATTCAAACACATTGTGGCTGAATAATACATGAGGAATTCTGCTGCCATTTAACCCTACACAGGTACACACACATATGGCTAGTGTACAAATAACAAAAAATCCCCAAACTGGATTGCTGTCAAGCATTCTGCAAAAGAAATTTGTAATAAAATGCACTTTAATCCAGACTTTGAGATCAGATTCCAGCAAAGATATGTGCAAGTAGTAGCTGAATAGTCATTTTTATTACTTAAATATGTCAAATTAAGCATCGTGGCTTCTACTGTAATATAAAATTTTATTTTTTTAATGTATTTGTTTTTTTAGTTAAAATACATAACAAAAAGATTTATTTTTTTTTAACTTTTTGAGTTCTTTTTTTCCTTTCTTTCTTTTTTTTATTTTTGTAGCTACGGCCCTCAGCGGTTGTGGAAATGGACATACCCGACACATTCTGCTACAGGTCGCATTGACTCCTGGGACACAAACACATGGCAAGCAAATCTGTTCAGCATTGGGTGCTTAGTGATGAAGCCAAAGTAGCTGCAGAGAGAACAAAACAGTGTGATGCAATCAGTCGGATGTTACACTGTACGGTGGTAGCAGGATGGGCAGAAGATGGATGTTTGATTACCAATTGTTCCTCGGATGGCATCCACAGAATGAGATGTTCTTCATCTGGAAGAAGTGACTACATCTGTCATACTAAATATAGACAGAGACAGAAAAAAAAGTAGAGTTCAGTCACTGATGAAGCAGTGCAACATAATCCCAAAGCAGAGGGACAATCGATTACCTGAGTAATCATGTCATTTATGTTTATTTGTCTAATACCTCATCAAGGGATTCATATTCATCCTCCAGGCTCATAATCAGTTTGACTCCTTGCAAGCTAATCTCCAGCTCACATAGAGAGGGAGGTCGCACATGTACCGTCCGTTTTCTCGATATTGCAATCTAACACAGAGAGAAACCACATTTGTATCCTGCCCATAGTAAACAATCCATAATAGTAAAAGTGTAAATGTGCTTTTCTTACCTTCTGCATAGCAGCACAGAGAATGCCGTTGCCTTGGTGATAAGGTACCTCAACAGACCCCAAAAACTGCACGCTGAAAGTTTCAATCCACGCTGGATTCCTTTTCATTCCTACGGAGTGTAATATGCATAGAAAATGTGATCGTTCTGTGTGTTTCGAATAAAAAAGCAAAAAGAAATAAGCCGCTGTATTCTTGCACTCACCCAGCAGCTCTTTGGATTGACCTATGACCTCATGAGCATAGAAGGCAGGGAAGATGCCCCTCTCCCCTGTCCGCATGTTATAGCCTCTGTACCAGTAGTCGTCCTCTTCTTCCTCCACATATAAGGGATCATCCACATCCAGCTCCAGCTCATCTGCATGCCTAGGAATGAACCTGCAGAGGGCAGCAGAGAAGTCAAGGAAAAAAAAGGAAACTGCATTTGTAAAAAGATGTTTCCTTACATGATGTTCCTGCTCCTATAAACCTGAGTTATTTTGATCTTTTATGGGTTTTAGGTGACTCCCTGTGGGAGGCTTTGATGAAAAAGCTGGGAAAGAAAAATAATAGGGTGGGTAGAGGAAGGCAAAGAGTTGTAAATATGGGGTATTTTGAATGAGACCTATGGTTTAAAAAAGTGAAATTATTTGTACACAACATGTACTGTGTAATACCGAGGCACTGTTTGCCTTTTCTCTTCTTGTCGTTGTCTTTATGGTTGGCAAAGAGACGCATGTGATGTCTTTGTCTTCCTCCCCAAAATAATTAGTGTTGCCCAAAAGTTGTTTCTGTTCATCTGGACACGTTTTCAGTGGGAGAAACGTTTCGTCACTCACGTGATTTCTTCAGTCTCAGCTGACTGCTTGGTTTCCCCAATCTTATAAACAGTACATTTGCATAATGATTCAAACTATCACCACTGAAGGAACAATGGGCTGGGAGGTCAGCCCATTGGGAGGTTGACCTCCCAGCCCATTGTTCCTTCAGTGGTGCTAGTTTCAGGCTTGAGTTTGTTTTACCTGTAGACTGCTCTGTGTGTCTGGTCCCTCTCTTCTCCATTG